GGGAGGTGGTGTGCCGGGAGCTGGGCTGCGGGGCGGCGCTGTCCGCCCCCGGCTCGGCTCGCTTTGGCCGAGGGCGTGATCCCATCTGGCTGGACGGGGTGAGCTGTACCGGGACAGAAGGGGCCCTCTCCGAGTGCCGTGCCAGGCCCTGGGGCGTCCATACTTGCAGCCACGCAGAAGACGCTGCTGTGGTGTGCTCAGGTAACCTGCATTTTTGTCCCTGCAGTTCAAGAAAAGGGGGACCAGTGCGTGCTGGGGGGTGGGTCTGCACTTTCTACAGGGTTCTCTCTTTCTCTCTCTGGGCCTCTCCTGAACTTGTTGCATGAATTATGCTGTGCAGGGCTGATCTGCATGGCAAGGCTGTACTCTTCCACTCTTCCCCATCAGTGTCTTTGGGAGAAGGAGGGGGGGTCAACTGGTGATTCTCCACTCCCTGCCAGCAACAACCCCAGGACTCTGGCACCTGAGGATTTGGGTCACATACTAGACAAGTTCCCAGCCCTGAGGCACTGCTGTCCCTGCTGCTCCAGAGCATTGCCTGTGGCCTGGGAGAAAGGAGCCTTGAGGCAGAGAGTTCTCCACCCTAGCTGGCATGCTGGAGACCTTTGTCATGCTGGACCCTGCTTTTGCACCAAGAGGGCTGCAGACCTTCTGCCCCCAGGGTGCTCTGCTCCATGCCAGGGTCTTATGGGGCCAGAGGTGATGTGGAGGCTCGTCTCACCCAGTGAAAGGGCATGGTCCTATGGGCATGCATCAGGCATCTTCTAAGAAGGACCTGAATTGCCCTACAGACATGCCCATGCCTCCCTGCTGATGGTTAAGGGGACATTAGGGAAGCCCCTGCTCTTGGAGAGCTCCCCACCAGATGCCTGGAGATGTGTCAGACACGGAACCCTACCTTTGGAGTGCTGTGGCCATGGAAGGCTGTCCCTGCTCCTCATGGCATCCTCATGGTCAGAGATGCCCGGCCTGGCTGTATACTGCCGTGAGTGCGTCCACATCTGCTCCAGTGCCTTTCCCATTTCAGATCCCACTGAGGTACGGCTGGTGAACGGCTCCGGGCGCTGCTCGGGGAGGGTGGAGGTGCTGCACGACCAGCGCTGGGGCAGCGTCTGTGACAACGACTGGGACCTGCTGGATGCGGAGGTGGTGTGCTGGTACCTGGGCTGCGGGGCGGCGCTGTCTGCCCCCGGCTCGGCTCGCTTTGGGCAGGGATATGGTCCCTTCTGGCTGGACAGAGTTCACTGCACAGGGAGGGAAGCTGCCCTCTCCGAATGCCGTGCCGAGCCTTGGGGAGCTCATAACTGCAGCCACGGGGAGGAAGCCAGCGTTGTGTGTGCAGGTAACCCTTGTCTGTGCCATTTCCCTGCATTTCTGAGGGGTGCTGGTCAGGGAAGGGGAAGGTGGTGGTTCAGCAATGGGTGTGGCCAGCTGCTGCCGGCCACTGCTGACCTCCCCATGCCAGCTCAGTGCAGGACACCTCCTGTATACCACGTCCTTCACCACCCTGGGAGAACAGGGCTGGGTCTGGGGTCAAACCACCCTCCCAGGGCAGAGGCTGTGGCTCCAGGAAGCTTTATACCCAGAGGCATTCAGTGCTCTGGGGAGTGCCCAGTACTGAGCCTCATGCACAGGCTCCCGTCCCTGGGGTTTTGCTCTCTGTAGCTGGGCCCAGCAAGACAGCAGTCTTCAGCACCCATGCGAGGAACTGGCACTTGCAGAGTCAGTCTGGTCTGATCCTACACAAAGTGGTGCGATGCATATTGCCCTAGAGGGGCCTGTTTCACTCCCATGGTGGTGGAAAGAGCCCAGACAAGTTGCCAGATGCCAGTTTTCTTTTCCTCTCCCCACTCTCCCGGGTCTGGCTATTTCTCATGAGTGTCTTGGAGATGTCTTTGCATCTTCTGTTCCCTCAGGAGCACAGCTACCCCATCCTTTTTCTTCTCTATCACCTTCAGGGCAGAGAATGCATTTTTTGAAGTTAGTCCATGGATAGCATCCACTGCACAAAGTGCCCTGTACACAGCTACCACCCCTTGCTCCTGGTGCCCTTTGGCTTGCTCCTGCAGGGCACCCACAGGCACACACAGTAGGTTATTTTTGCATTGTTGGCATAGAGAGCACTTCAGCCCAGGATGTACAGTCCTTTCCCTCAACTTTGGACCGGCATGGCTCAGCAGGATTCCTTATCTGCCTTTCCTCTTCCAGGAGAGCAGGCTGTCAGCAAGGCTGGTCTCTTCATGGAGATCTGGTCCTTCTGCAAGGCTTGTGGCTTTGGCAGTAGTTATCTCCCAAGGGTCCATCCTGATCAGATGCTCAGGAACATCTCAAGTGCTTTCTCTCTTCTTTTTTTTCCCTGTTTCAGAGCCACCTGCCCTCCGGCTGGTGAATGGCTCCAGTCCCTGCACAGGCAGAGTCGAGGTGCTGCACAACCAGACATGGGGCAATGTATGTGCTGAGGGCTGGGACATGCAGGATGCTGAAGTGCTGTGCCGGGAGCTGGGCTGTGGGCTGGCTCTCTCAGCCCCAGGCAAGGCTGACTTTGGACAAGGAAAGGGTCCCATCTGGCTGGTGAATCTCAGTTGCCTGGGGACAGAAGCTGCCCTCTCTGAGTGTGTGGGCATGCCGTGGGGAATCCAGCCATGCCATCACAGAGAAGATGTCAGCGTTGAGTGCTCAGGTAACCCTCTCTGGTGTGAACTCCTTACCAGGCTGTCGTCAATAGTGTGATAGAGGGTAGAGCCTTATGATCAGGGAAGAGGCCTCTCTCCCCTTTGAGTCTCTTTTGACCCCATGCCAAGAGAAGAGACAGCAGGCTAGTGCTTCAAAAGGGGTCAGCCCTGCACTACGAGTCCTAGCGCATCTTGTGTAGCCACCCGAAGGACCCTGGTCCCCCGTAGTCACCTACAAGGGAGCTGTCATCTCTATGCCCAGATGCTGGTGTGGAGTCAGAGCAGAGGTGTGTGCCACACAGCACAGGGTCCGTGCAAACTCCTCACTCCATAGTCAGAGATGGCTTTTGATTTTGGTGGGGACAACTGGGGAATCTTCTGTGATGAGGAACAGGTGGGCTCAGCTGGATCACCCAAGCCAGGCATGGTCACCCCTCTGAGCCCAGGTTGTTGTTGCAGGCTCTGAGTGTGATGGGCAGGGGCTGTCAGCCTATGGGTGGTGCCTTACACTGTTCCTAAGGCAGAAAAGAGCAATGATGAGCCACAACTCTCTACCTGGCATAGTGCAAAGCAGAAACAGTATTCCCTCACCAGCGCAGACAGAAAATCCGTCTAGCACAGTGATCTTAGAGGCATTAGTGGTGGTGGAAGATGTCCCTAAGTCACAAAATATTATCTGTGTTTAAAAAGAGTTCTACGTAATTGCCCAGTTTTTGCACTGTTGAGCTCATTAAATGTCATTTGAGGAATATCCCAAACATGGCCTTGACATAGTTGACTCTGGAGTTATGTAAAACTCGTATCCTTCTGGATCAGCAGGTAGAAGTAAGGCTGGATATTCTAAAATGGCACCAGATGCCTGTGTTTGGTCTGCGAAAAGGCCTACAGGGAGGCTTTGCAAAACAGTCACATGGAGTTTGCGAGTCCAGTGAAGGGCTACTAAGATGATTAAGGGACTGGAGCATCTGTCATATGAGGAAAGGCTGAGAGAGCTGGGACTCTTCAGCCTGAAGAAGAGAAGACTGAGGGAGCATCTTATCAATAAATACCTGAAGGTAGGGTATCAAGAGGATGGGGCCAAACTCTTCTCCGTGGTGCCCAGCAATAGGATGAGAGGCAACAGGTACAAACTGGAACCCAGGAAGTTCCATCTGAACATGAGGAAAAACTTTGTTACTGTGAGGGTGACTGAGCAGTGGGACAGGTTCCCCAGGGAGGTTGTGGAGTCTCCTTCCTTGGAGATATTCAAAAGTCATCTGGACACACTTTTGGGAAATGTGCTCTAGAGGAGCCTGCTTGAGCAGGGAGGTTGTATTAGATGATCTCCAGAGGTCCCTTCCAACCTCAGCTATTCTGTGTTTCTGTGATTCTGTGGCTCTCTGCATGGAATTTGAGTTAGTTTCTCAAATACCACATCCAGATAAATATTTTATGAAGATACTTTCAGCAGGCTGAGTATTTATGTGGTGTAGTTGCATGCTGGATTGCTGCAGTCAATAGCAAACCGACAGACATATTCATTCTGCAAACCAGATTGGTCTTTGGGGGAAAGCAGAAGGAAAAGTTCAATCTTATCATTTGCATTTTCTTCTACTATGGTGCAAATAAGGCAGTCTGATCTTTCCTCGAATGTCTTACATGCAAAACTTTTGGTAAGCTGAATTAGGAGGAGTGTTATCTCTACAGAGCCCTTGACCATAACCCTACTTTAAAAGGCCAGAGCTGAGCAATACCTCCACAGTCAGCAGTTTGCAGTATTCAACGGTTGGTTTCTGAACAGTCATTTTCATCAGAGTTTTTAAATAGAGATGTCAATAAACTGCTACCTCTTTATTTTCAAGGGACAGGGAGAAAGAGGGAAAAGACATCACAAAAGGCTTATTTTCACTATCAGATCCTACTTGTCAAACTTCAAACTTACTGCATGCAGGAATGGGACATGAACTCTTGGCATATGTTTGGCCTTTACAGAAATTCTGCAAGTGTGCCTTTTTCTCATCTCATTTTCTCTTTATGTTTTGGTTTTCAGAGCCAGCTATGCTCCGGCTGGTGAACGGCTCAAGCAACTGCTCTGGAAGAGTTGAAGTGCTGCATGCCCAGCAGTGGGGCAGCGTGTGTGATGATGGTTGGGATGTACGAGATGCAGAAGTGGTGTGCAGGCAGCTGGGCTGTGGCACAGTGCTATATGCCCCACATCTGGTTCAGTTTGGCCGAGGGCCAGGGCGTGTCTGGCTGGGTGACGTGAATTGTACAGGGACAGAAACTGCTCTCTCCAAATGCCCAGCTGGGGCCTGGGGTGAAGGTTCTTGCCGCAGCAGGGAAGATGCCAGTGTTGTGTGCTCAGGTAACCCTGCCTTGTGCATATCTCACACTACTGTGCTGCACATCCTGTGCTGCTGTATGTGAGCAGTACAGCGCATCCTTTTAGGATTACTTTTTTCTCCCAATTCCTTTCTTCTCACCTGCCCTTGCACAGCTGCAGGAGTCCATGGCCATGGGGAACTGGCAGCCCAGCATGGATAGACTCGAATGTAGTCTTGTCTCTAGGATGGACATTCCATAGGTTTAGAAAACAGTGTTTCACCAGCTTGAGAAATGCACACAGTGGGGAGAGTGGTGGGAGACAGAAGTCCGCTCCCATTTTCACCTCTGGCTTCCAAGCTACCGAAAGAGCTGTGGCAGTGGGATAGAAGATGAGGGTGGGGGATGAATGCTGGGTGATCTGTGATCATCTCAGCATGCTGTGGAGGAGTAGGACTGCAAGTGTTCTGCCTGTCCCATGCTAGCACAGAGTGGCTGTGTGTGTCATGCAGGGTCACTGTTGAAACATGGTGTCAAACAGAGCAGGCAGCTGGTAGAAAGTTTGCAAGCCGTGGAATTGCCTGCTCTTTAACATGCCTGGTGTCATGGGCACTGCAGGCTGTATTTGAATGGTGACAGCCCAAGGGTGTCATGAGAGAACTCGTCTCTGGAGGACAGGAGTGAAGGTGACATTCACATGCCTGGCAGGGAGCTGGGAGGAGAAAGAGACTGCAAATCATGGGTGCTTGACTGCAGGGTAGGGAAGCATGGGGAGGTGCTGAGCTCACAGCCTTGGTGTCTCTGCCAGGCACAGCCGTGAGCAGCTCCAGCCTCCCACTGCCAATGCCCCTTCTGCTGGGCCTGGTGACATCACTAGCTCTCACACTGCTGATCGGGGCTTTCCTGCTCTTGATGAAGAAGAGACCACGGTCCAGGGCTTTTCTGCACTCAGCAGGTCAGCTTTTACTCTTACTCAGCTGTAGAGGATGGGGGCTTGGGGCGGGTGCAATGTGTGTGGGGTGGGTGGTAGAGGGAGTGTCTGCCCTGTCTGCTGTATCAGACTCCTTGCATCACAGCCCAGGGTGCCCCAGAGCACCGACCATATAATGAAGGAGATAGGAGCAGAAGCAGCTGTGAAGAGAGGTCACCTGCTTTCTGTGCCCCTGGGCAAGCCAGCAGCACAGCCGGGGACACACCCTGTGCAATGTCCTAGTCCCAGGGCTGTACAATGCTCTTCCCCTAAGAGACAGCAGACTGTCTTCCTTGCAACAGCCCCATAGCTGTGTCTGCAACTCCAACACTGAGCAGGGGCTCTTACAGATTATCCTTGGTCTCTGATGAGTGGGGCCCTGTGACATCCTGTCCTCTGCTTTGCAGGTAATGAGCTGGAACTGAATTCCCTGGGAACTCTCTGGATCCAGGGAGGTGGTCATCTTACAGCCATGGCAGAAGTTCCTGAAGATCCCGGCAATGAAATGGTCTGGCTGGTGAAAGCCAAGAGAGTGACACTGCCCCAGGATAAACCTGAGGGAGAACAGGAGAAAAATTGCAGCTTTCTCCCAAATACTGCATCATGAGCAGAGCCTTGGTGCAGATGTGGGCTGCAAAGTCATTTCCCTCCACCTCTGTCTCTGGTGGTGTGTGCTGGGGACAACGTGTGAAAAGAAGAACTCCAGGTCCCAGATACTTTCAGTATTTGGTGTATCAGTAAAAATAAACTGGCCCTTTGTGCCATGCTTAGAACAGCTCTTACTGCCTTTATAATCCAAATGGGGAAAAATCTTGACTCCTTATTGGATCTCAGTGTCCTTGTCAGGGCTCATATGCCCTGCATCTCCTCTCACCACCACATTCTCCAGAGCTGCTCCTTGGGGAGGAATGAACTGTGCTCTTAGGTGAAGCAGCAGTGGTGCTGGTTCTGCTCAATGTGATGTGCATGCGGACAGGAAAAATTAGTTTGGATTTCACAGATACCTAGGTGTACTGGCCTTGTGCACAAGAGGGGCAGAAGACTTAGAGTCTGAATGGATGCAGCTCATGGAGCTCCAAAAGCAGAGAAGGCTCTTGTAGGTGCAGATGAAGGCATCTGGATGCAGATAAAGGTCCAAGGGCTGTCCTATTAAAGAGTATTAGATGTCAGCATTTAGTCATTTAGCATTCATTAAGGAAGATTCCATTTCAGAGAGGTTTGCCTGCTTCTAGGAACCACTTTTGCACAACCATAATGCTATAAGTGGCGCGCAAAAGTTTCATGGGAGATTTCCCTTCTGGGCCAGTTTCAGCTATGCACTGGGACACAGCAGCAGGCAGAAAGGAAGGAGTCAAGTGCAGAGGCTGCTGGAGTAGGTGCTATGACAGCAAAGCTTTCTCTCTGGTGGAAAGTGAGATCTCAGGCATATGTCAATAAATCTTGCATGTGTGCAGTATTGTGTGAAGTCTCCTTGGAAAGAGGCACCTGGCCTGACAGACCCTGTGCCGTACAGGAACCCCCAGAAGAAGCGACAAGTGATTGTTGTGGGTGACTGCCTGCTGCAGGGGACAGAGGCACCTATCTGCCAACTGGACCTCTTGTCCAGAGAGCTTTGCTGCCTGCCAGGGGCTCGAAGAAGAGATGTCATGCAAAGAGTGCCAAGGCTTGTCCATGCATCAGACTACTACCCTCTGCTGCTCTTCCAGGTGGGCGCTAACGACACAAAAGGCAAACTGGAAACCATCAGACGAGACTTCAGAGCTCTGGGAATGGTGGTGAAGGGTCTGGGAGGCCAGGCTGTTTTCTCCTCAGTCTTGCCTGTGAGGGGAAAGGACGGGAGGAGGAGGAGACGAGTTTTCCAAGTTAGCAACTGGCTGCGCCACTGGTGTTGGCAACAGGGTTGTGGTTTCCATGACCATGAGACCCTGTTTGAAGATGGACAGCTGATGGGGAGAGATGGGATCCACCTTACCAAGCGGGGCACGTGTGTCTGTCTTCTCCAACAGATTGGCCAGCCTGGTAAGGAGAGCTTTAAACTAGGAAAGGTGGGGGAAGGGGAGTACTCAGTAAAACACCGCTCAAGTCAGGATGCCTCCAGCGGGTGCATGCAGCCAGGGGAGACAGCATGCAACATGGCTGTGGAGGATCCTCTTGCACACCCCTCCCCTCCCACCACCCCGAGAAACCTGCATGCTCGACTGGCTCTCTGAAATGCGAGCAGCATGGGGAATAAGCAGGAAGAGTTAGAGATCTGTGTGCGGTCGCAGGGCCATGATCTCATTGCGGTTACAGAGAGCTGGTGGGATAGCTCACATGACTGGGATGCTGTCATGGATGGCTAGGTGCTTTTTAGGCAAGACAGGCCAGGAAGGCGAGGTGGTGGAGTTGCCCTTTATGTGAGGGAGCAACTAGAATGTGCGGAGCTCCGCCTCGGGGTGGATGAAGAGCAAGTGGAGAGCCTGTGGGTAAGGCTTAAAGGGCAGGCTAAGATGGGTGACACGGTGCTGGGGGTTTACTACAGGCCACGTGATCAGGAAGAGGAAGTCGATGAGGGCGTCTACAGACAGCTGGAAGTAGCCTCACGATCACAGGCCCTGGTTCTCCTATCTGAGGCGGGGTGGGGTGGGGGGACGGGACTTCAACCACCCTGGCATCTGCTGGGAAGAGAGCAGAGCTAGACACAAACAGTCGAGGAGGTTCCTGCA